TATATTTATATTTATATTTATATTATATTTATATTTATATTTATATTTATATTTATATTTATTATTTATATTTATATTTATATTTCTATTTATATTTATATTTATATTTATATTTATATTATATTTATATTTATATTTATATTTATATTTATATTTATATTTATATTTATATATATTTTATATTTATATTATATTTATATTATATTTATATTTATATTTATATTATATTATATATATTGTATTTATATTTATATTTGTATTTGTATTATATTTATATTTATATTTATATTTATATTTGTATTTATATTTATTTTTATATTTATATTTATATTTTGGTCCGTTGCGAAATGAACAATATTGGTTCATTCCTTCGGAACCCACTCAATAGAGGATCAACAATTTGTATAATCATAACAGAATTCAATATATGTTTAAAAAATCGTACCTTGGCTGAGGGTATACATCTGTCGGTAAAACGGACTGATACTTTTTAGCTGTTTTTTTTTTTATTTTTTTTTATTTCATTCTTAGCAAATATTTTCCAAAAAAAAAAAATCATTTTTCCACCTAAAAAAAACATTTTAAATATTTTTTTATATTTCCCTGTAGGAGTTTCGGTCGGCCCACAACGGTGGAGGAGCATCACAATGCCATCGGTTGTAATCACAAGGATCTACATTTAATTCTCAAAGAATTGCAATTTATAACGGCGCGCATGCGCAAGGCCGATGATGAGGCTGAGCTAATAAGCGATTGGAAATTCGCGGCTATGGTTGTGGATCGGTAAGCGAATATATATATTCCAATCAAATAACCTATTCCTATAACTAACCTGATTTTTTTTCTTAACTTGCAGATTTTGTTTAATTGTCTTTACACTCTTCACAATAATAGCCACAGTGACAGTTCTGCTGTCAGCACCCCACATAATAGTTCAATAAAATTAGGATATAAACGACACAACAACAACAGCAACAACAATGCAAGAAACCTAAAAACAGTTTTCTTTTCTTGGTTTTTAAGTTTCAACTAAACTTAGATATTATTTTTATGAAAAAAAAACTGAACCACAACTGCAAAAACTCAATATCCGAGTGGAAAGGAAATTAAAAAAATCCAAACACTTCAAATTTCAAATCCCTCAAAACCCCAGCGCCTCCCACGCCAAAAATAAAAAACAAGCAAATGCAGTGGACGATGACGTACGGACTCGGAGATAATGCTGCTACTACGACGAACCGAAAACCAGAAAAAAAAAAAATTAAAAAATACATAGTCTAATTCGTATAGAATATTGAAAAAAAAAACAAATGAATACAATTTTACTATACATTATAGTAGTAAATAAATAGGAATTCAAAACAAAAAGCAACAAACAAAGAAAGACAAAAACAAAAGAAAACAAAACAAAACAATTGAAATTAAATTAGTTATAAACAATTAAAACTGTTAAATAGTTTTTTAAGGCAAAAAACAAAGAAAAGTGAAAACAAAATAAAATAAAAGAAAAGAAAAAAAAAACTACAAAAAAATCACAACACAATGTTAAGGATGGGAAGAGACGAGGGAAATAAATTGGAAAAAATAATGAAAATGGGGACATAATTATATTCAAGTGTTGAAAAATATTCCTCAGGAATTTGAGAGACAGCCAAACAAATATTTTGAAAATTTTCAGGTTTAGAGGCCTAATAGTCAGTAAATTATTCATAAAAGTCTCCCCTTTAAAAAATCCCTAAAAATAATCGAAGATTACATATATTTGATCCTTAAAAAAAAAGTTTTATTAGATTTCAGAATTATTGAACTGTAGGTCTTTAAGATTTATTCTCCAGACTTATTAGTTTTCTGGTCTTTAAAAATAAAACGTATAAAAACTTTTTTTTAAAAAAATATTGGTTCCTGAAAATTAAAAAAATATATATTTTTTTAAGAAAATATTCTACAAAATTGGTCCTTAAAATTTAAATTTAAAAAATCCACAATTTTTGGCTTTCAACAAAAACTTAAAAAATCAACAGTTTTGATCTTAAAAATATATTTAAAAATAAAACTTGAATATGGGTCTTGGAAAAAATATTTTTTAAAAATTCAATATTTTTGATCCCTAAAAAAAATTTTTAAAAAATTTAGTAGGTTTGATCCTAAACATTTATTTATTTATTTTAATTTTTATTTATATATATATATATATATATATATATATATATATATATATATATATATATATATATATATATATATATATATATATATATATATATATATATATATATATATATATATATATATATATATATATATATATATATATATATATATATATATATATATATATATATATATATATATATATATATATATATATATATATATATATATATATATATATATATATATATATATATATTTATTTATTTATTTATTTATTATTATTATTTTTTTATTTTATTTATTTATTTTTTTTTTTTTTGAACACCCCTTAGTAATTGATTTACTGCTCATGAAAGTTGTTTTGTTTTTTTTTTTATTTTACGATTATTTAAAAATATATATTTAAACGACCACAGTAATTGGCTTTTGATTTAATAAAAAAATATAGAAAAATATGCCAACAATTAATTTTTAAAAAATTCCGCTCTTATTGGTTCTTGAAAAATATTAAAACAAACCTTGATTTTTTCAGATCAACAATTGTTTGTCCTTGAAAAAGTATTCTTTAAAACGCCACGTTTATTGGCGCTTGAAATAATATACTTAAAAAAGCGAGGATTATATACGCTTCAAAAAAAATATACTTTAAAAATTCCCTTTAAAAATATTAATAAACTTAGATTTTTGTTTCTATAAATTTTTCATAAAAAAGTCCACAAAATTTGGTCTTTAAAAATATTTTCAAAAATATTCTTAATTATTAGATCATAAGTCCTTGAAAAAATATTTTAAAAAACCAATGGATTTTGGTTCTTGATTTTTGAAAATCGACAAAAATCGTAAGCCCATGAAAAAATATTCTTAAAAAAATCCATGTTTATGGGTTCTTGAAAAAAATAATTTTTAAAAAACGACGTTTACTGATGCTTAAAAAAACTTGATCCTGGATTTTTATTTCCTTACTTTTTTCATAAAAAAGTCCACAATATTGGATCCTTAAAAATATTCTCAATTACAATGACCATAAGCCCTTGAAAATTAGATTTAAACATTAACTATTTACTTTGTTTTTTTTCATTGCTGGAAAAAAATATTTTTTAAAAAACATGGCTCTTATGTTTTTTGGTCCTTGAAAAGCTATTCTTCAAAAAAAAAAAAAAAAAAAAAAAAAAAAAAACATTTTTGGTTCTTTAAATTCTTTATAAAAAAGTCCACAAAATGGGTCTTTAAATCATAAGCCCTTGAAAAAATATTTAAAAACCGGTTCTTGATTTTTTTGCAAATCAACAATTGTTCATCCCTGAAAAAAATATTTTTAAAAAAACATATTTTTTGGTCCTCGAAATACAATTCTTAGAAAGGCGACGTTTAATGAAGCTTAAAAAACTATTATTTAAAAGTTCCAGGTTTCGTGGTCTGTTGGTCTTTAAAAATATTTGTAAGACTTAGATTTCTGTTTTTTTTTTAGTCTTTTATAAAAAAAGTCCAAAATATTTGGTCCTTAAAAATATCTTAAAAAAAATATTCTCAATAATTGAAGCATAGGTCCTTGAAAAATTAGTTTTAAATAAAAACTATGGATTTTTTTTAATTTTTTTAATAACCCCTATTTGTCATTGAAAAAATATTCTTCAAAAATTTATATTTATTGGCCCTTGAAAATTAAAAAAAAAAACGACGTTTATTGATACTTAAAAAAAAAACTATTCTTCCAAAATACCAGCTTTAGTGGCCTGTTGGTCCTTGAAAATATTTATAAAACTATGCTTTTTAGGTTCTTCACATATTTCATAAAAAAGTCTACAATATTTGGTCCTTAAAAATATCTTCAAAAATATTCTAAATTATTAAATCATAAGCCCTTGAAAAAAATAATAAAAAAAAACTATGGATTTCGGTTCATGATTTTTTTGGCAAATCAACAATTTTTCATACCTGAAAAAAAATATTCTTAAAAAAAATATTTTTTGGTCCTCGAAATACTATTCTTAGAAAGGCAACGTTTTTGATGCTTCAAAAAAACTATTCTTCTAAAATTCCAGGTTTAGTGGCATGTAAGTCCTTGAAAATATTTATAAAATTTAAATTTTTGTTTTTTTTTTTTTAATTTTTTATAAAAAAAAAGTCAACAATATTTGGTCCTTAAAAATATCTTTAAAAAATATTATCAATAATTGAAGCATAGGTCTTTGAAAAGGTAGTTTTAAATAAACACTATGGATTTTGGTTTTTAATTTTTTTTTATCAACCCCTATTTGTCCTTGAAAAAATATTCTTTAAAAATCCATGTTTGTGGGTCCCTGAAAAAATAATTTTAAAATATGATGTTTATTGATGCTGCAAAAAGGCTATTCTTTAAAAATTCCAGGTTTCGTGGCCTGTTGGCCCCGAAATCATTTATTAGCCTTAGATTTTTGATTCTTTAAATTCTTCATAAAAAAGTCCATAAAATTGTGTTTTTAAAAATATCTTCAAAAATATTCACAATAGTTAAAGCATAGGTCCTTGAAGAAAAAGTTTTAAATAAGAACTATGGATTTTGGTTCTTAATTTTTGCAATCAGAAATTGTTCGTCCTTGAAAAAATATTCTTTAAAAAATCACTGAAAAACTATTCATAAAAAGGCAATGTTTATCAAAGCTTCAAAAAAATATTCTTTAAAAAATCCACGTTTAGTGGTCTGTTGGTCCTTGAAAATATTTATAAAAGTTAGATTTTTGTTTGTTTTTTAATTTTTTTATAAAAAAAGTCCACAATATTTGATCCTTAAAAATACCTTAAAAATATTGTCAACAAGCATAAGTCCTTGAAAAACTAATTTTAAATAAAAACTACTTTTTAATCAACAATTTTTAGTCTTTGGAAAAATCCTGTTAAAAATCCATGTTTTTTGGTCCTTGAAAAACTAATCTTAAGAAAAAAGCGTTATTGATTTTTCTTTAAAAATTCCAGGTTTAGTGGTTTGTTGGTCCTTGAAAATATTTATAAAAATTAGATTTTTCTTCTTTAAAACGACCTAATAAGCCCTTGAAAAATTAGTTTAAATAATATCCGGAACTAAAAAATACGGAAAAATATGGATTTTTGGAGTCAGAGCTCCTATATTTATTTTGTACTTTTTTCCGATGCATCTACAAAGTTCTTCGAAACTAGCACTTTTTCTGTACCAAAAAAGTATTGAAATTACCCATGTAGCCACTATTGGTACAAAACGAAGGAAATTTTTCTTTTAGAAAATTGTACTCAACGAAAAAATTGTTTTTATTTAAGGTAGAAATCTAAAGTTTTCATATATGGGGGACAATCAGACAAATTAACGGGAACCATTCAACCCGTAAAGGTATATTTTTAAAAGCATATTTTCACAAGGATTAACAAACTAGGATTTCCTTAGAATTATTTTCTAAGGACCATCCAATAATGAACACGGATTTCGAGAAAATATTTCTCAAGAAGCATCGAACAAATAATACAGGAATTGTTATATAATATATTGCCAAGGACCATTCCAACAATAAACGTCGATTTTTTAAAGAATATTTTTTCAAAGACCATGCAAAGGGGTGCATTTTTTAAAGAATATTTTTAAGGACCATCCAAGACGTGGATCTTGTAAGGAATATTTTTTCAAGGACCATCCCAACAATAAACGTGGATTTCTTAAAAAATATTTCTTGCAGGATCTTTAGACCAATAAACGTGGATTTTCAAAAGAAATTTTTTTTAACGGCCATCCAAGGCGTGGAGTTTTTAAAGAATATTTATTCAACGACCATCCAAGTCGTGGATTTTTTAAAGAATATTTTTTCAATGACCATCCAAAGGCATTGATTTTTCTT